CTGATATTTTTGTCATATGAATTGTGAACAACTTTTAGTAAAAATACTGTTTTTATGTAAATACTGAAGTGCCTGCCAGTATTGTTATTTTTTTCTGGTATCGCCATCAGTAATCTTTGTTAAACTTTTTCTGAATATCCTCCGGGTTGTGAGGGCCTTTTTGAAACGTGATGTAGACATTAGTCATGTGGTGTCCTTACACGTACGGTGGGCGGAGTAATGGCCCCCAACAAAGTCCACGTCCTAACCCCGGAAGCGGGGAGCGTATTAGGTTTTATGGCACAGGGGAATTGAAGCTGCGAATGGAACTAAGGTGGATAGTCGGTGACCTTGAGGTGCTGGCCTTGAATGTGGGGGGAGGGGCCCCGGGTTCGGGAAAGGGGGTGCCTCTAGAGGCCGGGTTCTGCTCGGAGCGCCCACAAAGGGGTGCACCCCGCTGAGCCCCGTCTCAGTCCAGTGAGACCCCGTCAGACTCGTGAGCTGTGGGACCATGAGAGGGTGAGTGTGTGCCATCAGTAACTCTGCTCACGATGACCTGTCCCAGCAGGAGCAGAACACTTGGGTGCCATGTTCTGGAATTACCTACCTGTTTTCACTCACACAGAAAGCCTGGCTGGAGGCCTGCTGGTCCCTTTCCTGATGACAGTAGGAATTCCGCGTCTTTTGAGTACTGATCCTTTGTCGTCTGCGTGTTTTCCATCTTTGTAAGTGTCTCCATGCACCTTTCTCGTGCACGGACGTTCATGATTATACTGGATTCCAAAGACGGGTTGTTTAGTTGTTGTGTTTGTGTCGTTTCACAAATCTCTACCTCGTCCAGGAGCAGAAAATACAAAACATCAGCTCCAGGTAGGTGACAGGTGTTGGTGTTAAAAAGCAAACTTTTAAACTTTCAATAGGAAGAAGGTAAGTGATTATTTTTTCTGTTCCTGGCCCTGTTCTGTCCCAGCCCCGCCCAGGCTGAGACTTGGAGCCAGGCCCGGACATCTGCAGGCTCGCCCTCTGGCCTCCCCCAGC